GAAACATACCAGTACAGTAAGATATGCTAGAAATTTAACATGCACGATTACTGTGTATCACACCAAGATGGTTATACCTGTCAAGATATGCCTATGGAAATGTTGTAAAGTGATCTAATGAAGTAGAAAGACATCAGTCCAGAGCCAATCTGACAGCAAAGCAATCTCTCTTCCCATTAATTTCACGCTATTCTCTTCATAAAGATTTCATACTAAATTAACAAGCTCAAAATCCACTGAAAAGGTAAATGCCTTTTCTGTCTTACAGCTGTAATATAAAACCATGAAAAAACCTGCAGCCTGATAAAACAATCTTTAAAGACAATCAGCACAAGGCATGGAAGAGATCAAAATAAGGTACCCATTAACAAACAACAAATACAGGACTGTAATGCTTCCATACAGCATAAGCTGTACTTTTAAAGTGGAAAACTGCATCTCACCAAATGAAACAAAAGCAACAACTTCAGACATAACCACTTTACAACTGTCTCGAGAGGACCTCAATATTACCACAAGGAGAAAAATGGAAGCAAAAAAGGACTTATGTTTGTCTCCTGAGACTGTCCTTCTGGTCATCACCCACTGAAGTCTAAAGGATAAGTCACACCAGCTGCCTAGGGGTATTGCTTCAGTAAATTACAAATGACATGTATTCATACTAGCTGATGTACAACTCAAACTAAAGGAACTCCGTAACCCAGCAACAGTTTGAGCTATTACATGGTTTTGCAGCAATCCACAGAGTTACTCTATAAGCAGCAGGCTCAGGTACAAATGTGACTTTGAGGCTTAACCCTTTATTAATTTACTCAGATATAAACCAGTGCCAAGAGCCTTAAATCCTCAACTTTTCTGCAACTGCAGACAGCAGCAACTCACTTCACACTAAATCTCATGATATGGGCAGCTGTGTCAGAGAAACAAGGCCAGAGCCAGGCAGTCACTGCTGAGATGGTTCTAGGACTTGAAATACAATCTTTCACCACGATAAAAACTCTTCAGATGTAGAAGACAACTATTATGTTACTTCTGCTGATCTTACTATTTAAGCATCACATGAAAAAAAGAGCTTTCAGGAACAGAACACACATGAAGAATGAAAGCACTTTTTTCTCTTCCTTTTTTCCCCAAATCTCTGTAAATTTTATTATAACTTTACTCACAGAGGAAAAATATATGCATTTTTACAGTCCAAAGTGGAAGCAGGAAGAACTTTGAAGCATGAGAAGTTTTGTGGACACAAGAAAATTTCAAGCACCTTTTATGAAGTTGATACCCATCTTTTTCCTGAAGGACTAAATTGGCATTCCTTATTGCCCAGGAAAGATAAAGACATGTTTTCAAAGAGCTTAAATAACTTGACTATTTGCTATCACTATTTTTTCTATCATAAGCAATTTCAAGAGTAACTTGAACAAACAATTATATTAAGCCAGATATATTTAACAAAAAATGTGTGACCTGGAGAGACAGGGAGCATACACCAGCCAAGCAGAAAAAAAATACTTGGCAAACAAACTATAGAAGACACTTCCGAAGAGGTGATTATTTTGAAGCTTCCCTCAGGTGATGTTTTTTTGACATCAAGCCACCTGCTTCATGAGACTACGCTGCAACAAACAAAGCTGTCTGAACCCCTTCTGGAAAATTTTTATTCTGCCGGTAAATATGTTAACTCTGCTTTTCTCTTTCATAACTTCTCACTGTACATCCAGCGACTGGTGAATTATGAGCACAGGAAGAATAACAGCAGCTTACTTGTCCCACATTTTTATATCAACCTTTACCCCATTCTTTTTTTCTTCTCTGTAGCTTTAGTAAAATTCCTCTGTAGTGCACACACAGAGCTGAGATTCCTCCCTACATTAGGAAAGGAATTGGGAACGTTCTACTCCCCAAAAAAAAAAAAAAAAAAAAAAAAATCCACAAGAAAATTAAAGCAAAGGAAGAATATATGCAGAAGCAGACAGGAGACTACAGTCCTGTTGGACTTCATGCAAAAGCCTGGTATAGTTCAACAGAAGCAGAAACAAATTCAATGGGGAAAAAAAAAAAAAAAAGAAAAAAGATAGACATTCCCCTAATACACTTAATCTTTTTAACCCCAGTAGGACCTTACCTTCCTACCAATGCCACTGTATAGTTAATAAAAAACAATCCTTCCTCCTTATAGTTTTTTTTTCCTCATCTCCTCTTCCTAAGGGCATTATCTTTGATTATTATTGGCAAGCCAACCTTTTACATTCCATGATTCTATACAACAGGAAGCAATACTTAGTTATTCATTCATGTCTGCTCTTGTCAGACAGTTTTTCTACATCAATACTGAAGATGCTCTCTCCTTTTAGCTGCATTAAAATCTTTTTTCTCATAATTTTTAAAAAGGGCATGAAAATCGGCTGCAAACTCTTGGTTTGCTCATGTATTTCTGTCTGTACATTGTTTAAATGCTTAAAAAGAGCTACAGTAGCTGAGACAACTGGAAGCCCAAAAAACAGTTATTGTATGTTAATGAATAAATGATTTATCCAATTACAGCAGGTAAACAATAGACAGCAGGAGATAGCATCAAGCTAAACACAGAAAATCTGCTTCTTCCAGGTTTTGTGACAAACTGCAGTTCCTCAGTGTTACTTTTTTGAGCTCCATTTTCACAGAGTAAGAAAGAAGTACCTCCTCTGCAGTCAGAAACAACTGAGCAGATGAGTCATTCCAAGCTTTAGATTGTATCTGTTCCCAACTCCCCATACACACACATAGCAGGCAACGCTCTAATTCAGCGCAGAGATGGCAGAAAGCTCTGCCTGAGACAGGACTGGCACCAGTTACTACACTCTTAAAGCCAGGAGAAAGCACTACATTATTACTCACACAATCAAGTTTGGATCACATTCCTGGTTGGACTGTAGAACTCGAATTCACTCTAATTTTTTGCAGCTTCAGGACATAACTATAATACTGTTACTCAAAGAATTGTTATTTTCCCAGAGCTTACTGGCAGAAGAAACTAAAGGTCCGGTTTGTTTGTTTTTTTTTTTTGAATAAGTATTTTATCTTCCTATGAATATCGTTTACTTCCCAAAACACCACTCTGTTCTCTTTTCCAGGTCTCTAGAATAGAGGATATTCTTCTCTGCACATTTCCATGACATTTTGGCAGAAGCTACAGCTGTGACAAGCTTTGGACTGGAAGTTTTGCTTTCTGATGTGTTTAGCTTAGTGACTGAGTGCTATTGAAAATTAAAGAAAACAAGCAATATTCTTTCATAAAGTAACAAGTGACCCGAGGGAAGCCTCCCTGTGTGGGAATGGAAAAAAAGTCCCAGTTTTGATGTTCCACAAGCTTCCATAAGTTCATAACTTTGAGAGATGTCAGCAATTCCATGTCTTTTCACCACCTCCCCCTCCTCCCTATTTCTTCTAAAAACAAAAGGTTTGTTTTTATACAAGTTACTGCAAAACATCCAAAATACATCTGACACTCCACTATCTGCAGTGTTTCAAATGACTCTAGATACGTGACTTATACTATATTAACATTTAACAATATATTAATTGTCAACCCCATGCCTAGAACTCAGTCTTTATTTATTTATTTTTTTTAAAGTAAGACCAGATTGCTAAGATATCCTATTGCTTGAAATATTTGCTCCAGTGTAAACATAGAAAAGTCACACAGGCAGCCTCCTGCTATGGGTACCAACTTCAAGCCTGGTAACTACAACTGCCAAAGATGCAGTTCAGTCCCTACTGGTCAGGGCATCGCACCATAGAATGCAGTGATGAAGTGCAGTGATATAGACAGTGGTCTATTTATCAGTTTGTCCCAGTTTGATATTTTTCAAGGCCTTTGGATTACACTGATCCCACCCGCAATCAATGAAGCAGGCAAGACCTCTCATTGAGACTGGAAAACAGCGAGACTACGTCCAAGTGCTCATCAAACTGGCCAATACAGTTGCAGAAGCCAAGCATCAAGGCTATGTGCATTAAACAGAAGCTTCAGCAGCTGAAGAACGCTGTGCAGCTTCAAGGTGATGATGCAGGGGACCATAAGACATACTGGATTTCAGTCCAGGGGCCTCACCAGGCTTTGGAAGCACACAGCTCTCCTCAGCTGAGCCCGCCTGCCGTCAGCTCCGAACAGCCAAGTGCACGCCGGCCTGGGTGCTTTCAGCCGCTCTATACTTTATTGAGCCTTTTAGCAGGACAAGGAGGGAGGCAGACACTACCGAAAGGCAAAAGCAAAGCCTCCGAGGGGCAGACCTCAGTGAGAGCCGGCTGTGCGGCCGCCCACGGCTGCCCGCAGAAGGCCGGGAAGAGCTGGCGCTCAGGCCTGAAGAGAGGGAGGCGGGGGAAGGGAAGAGAAGGCCAGCTGGGAGCGGGAAGGGACGGCGCAGCGCCTGCCTCATTACCTCTCCACGGCCCGCACTGTGTAGCTGACGAGCGGCCTCCCCTGCACGGTGCAGAACTGCTTGGGGGTGGCACCGCCCAGGCGCTCACCGCTCCCGCCCGCGGGTAGCACCGCTGCCACCGCCTTCACCGCGGGCCCGGCCTCGCAGCCGCCGGGCTCCATCGCCGCTCCTCGCCCCTCCGCCCGCCCCCCAGCAGCCAGAGCTCGGCCGGCACAGTGCGACCGCCCGCGTCGTTTATTTGTCCGCAACGCCAGCAATCCAAAGAATCTAGCGCGCGCCCGCCCGCCTCCAGCGGCGACCGGGCCCCACTCCTCGCCCACCCCGCGCTACGCGAGGCTACTCGAGGCTACGCGGGCCCAGGCGGCCCCACAGTGCGCATCTCAAGCTCGGTGCAGGGAAAGAAGGAAAGGCGCCCGCCCGCCCGCCCCGACACGCTGAAAGGGTGCAAATAACATAGAGCAGGGGTAGTTGCCGTTGCCCCTTTAAATGCGCAGTGAGCGGGTAGTTCCCCGCAGCGCATGCGCGGCCGGGCTGCTCCCACCTGCGGCGGGCCCCGGTGGGCGGTGCTGGCTGCAAGGAAGGCGCCTCGCCCGCAGGCTTAGGTGGAGCGGCTGCAGATGGCGGGAAGTCTCTGCTAGCCCAGTGGACCAGCTCTGCTTCTTCCAGGGGATGAGCACAGGGCACCGAGCTCTTATGCTTAGACGTTATAGACAGGAAAAAAAAAAAAGCATCGGTCTTATATGCAGATAATACTAAAAATAGCCAGAGGCTTTAGAGTTTGTAGGTCTGTTTTGATCTAGCCTTCATATTTTTGAGGTGCTGCCTTGCTGGCAGCTTTTCATGTTTCTCTGAGTTGTGTCAAGAGGAACCTAAGTAGAACATAAATGTAGTCTTCTGTGAGGGAAGTCAGGCTGAACAGTCTGGGGAAAAAAAAGAGGAAATAAAAAAGAACTGCATAAATGGCAGGTTGTGATATGCCAGATGGGCTGCTTTGCCAGGGTCAGTTTTGAGCTAGGGTAAAATGATGGTATGAGATTGCAGAGGCATTGTAAGCAGGAGTCGTTCAGTGGAAATGAAGTGATGCCTGTTAGCAAGAGGAGAATTCACTGTCATCTTTGATTCCTACAGAAGTAGGGAGGTCATGAAAAATTGTACAATGCAATGGAGACATAACATGCTTTGCATGCAGAGGTGTTCTGACGGTTGAGACAGAGAACAGAAATCATGTCAACTAGCACCATGCAATGGAACATGGGAGGGACTGATGGCAAACAAAGAAAATAGACATACAAAAGAAGGGAAGGAATGTGTGTGCTGAAGAACTTCTGGGATAGAGACCTCCTGCGTCGCTGAAAACATTGACTGAAAGCTGAGCTGACAACTTGTGGTCTCATCTTCAGGACTGTTACTTTTGTGGGATTTTAGAAAATCCTTAGCTGAGGAACTGTAACCACCTGTTGCTTTTCACTTTTGGTGGGTTTCATATTTTCTCATCTTTGAGAATGTCTTTCACTACAGCTAATTCTGAAGTGATTACATCTGTTTGTATGTTTTCTCTTTACAGAACTTTGGAATTTGTTTGGACTCTTCTCCTCTGTGCAGATTGCCATGCATTCAGCATCACTTCTTTGTTATCAGATAGCCCAAATGAAATTTTCTTCTTGAGGTAGGCTTATCCAGTATTTATGCTCATCACATAGTTACATTATTATGAGTTGCTTTCTTGCAGCTGTTCTATGCAAACACATTTATGGCAGGTTTTTATGCAACATTCCCACTTTTTTTTTTTTTTTTTTTATAGCAGACATTCTGAATTCCTGACCCATGGCTTCATACCTCAGTTTATGAAGAGCATGGTTGTTACTCTAGGCAGGTATAACTTATCTAGCAGATTTTTTTTCTTGTTTCTATTGCTGTCATCAGCAAAGTAAGCTCATGACTCCTCCCACTGTACATTAGTTCTGAAGAGTAACTAAGGACTTTCCCTAGCAAAGAATCCCTTTCAGAATTATTTTCTCCTTCTTAAAATTCTGATTTTGAACTTCTTCCTCTATTCCAACAGTCTGTTTTATCTTGTCTTGCCCAGGAAGTTTTCCCCCATTTTGTTTCTTTCATGTTTATTAATTTATTCTGTCAAAGTTAAAGAGCCAGTGAAAATTTAGGACAGAAGACCAAATGAAAAAGTTGGTTCTGTTCTCGTTCTGAAGTCCATTTGCTTTATTATGTTAGGTGGATGAGGCTTGATCTATCCTGAGGAAATTATTTCTTGTGCAGGACAAAAGTTTTTATGTTCATTTTCTAACATGTATTTTTTAACTTCTCTAAGTAGCTTGTTAAGTATGAAACCTCTCTGCTTCTACCTTTCAAACCTTCAAATTGAGCTATTCTAGTAGTGAAGAAAACCTGCTCTCCTCATCCTTGTCTCAGGAATAGTTGTGACAAAGAACATGTCCTTAGATGTAATGTCAAAATTGTAGGAGATGGAAATGCTAAATAAGTTAGTGCCTTGGATATTGGCTTTAACGTTCTGGTCTGAGAGGTACCTCAGATTTATTTGTAATCAAGAATTAGTACTTTTGTTCTGGATTGACAGTGTAATCTAGAACAGTTTCTTCAGGAAACCTTTCAGTACATAGATTCCCATGGTCTTGGTTAGACAAAGCATTTTACTGCTATTTCTCCTTGAATTTTCTGTTTTCTTAAACAATGATTAAGAAGGCTTTGTTGATATCCTTATCAATTTATACTGCCTTAGCAAAAGTTAAAAAAATTTTGATTTTATTTTCATGTGTTTTTAATACTCATTTGATAGTAACATGCAATGAAATACAATAGTATTTTGTGATTACATAATTTGCTTGAATGCCATTCCATTTTACATTTTCATTTATTTAATCATATCATTACTGTGTCCAATGCAGGCTCATATATAAGCATTTGAAGTGGGATAGAAGTTAAATTGGTGGATATTGAGAGAACAACTTTATACCTTTTTTTTTTTTTTTTTTTTTCAATAAAGATAAATCAAGGCAATCTTTTTGACTTACAGCCAATAAAGAGCAGTTTAATCCATTGTTTCTGTGCAGGGATATAACAGGTGAAACCACAGTGCTAGTTTGCAATTATGCAGTATATTTGCCATATGTTTGAAAAGGTTTTTTTTTCCTTTTCTGTTAAAGAAAGAAAATACATGCAAATTGAAATGAAATTATAGAGGAGAAATTAGCCTGAAAATGTGAAAATGTTTCTGTGACTGAAACTCATCATAGTGTTTATGGGGGATATTAAATGAGAAGTAAATTATTGGACTGATAGAATGATTTTCTTATAAGAAATGATGTTCAAAACCTGCAAGTTAGTCCTCTGTAGGTGTGACATAAATTAACAGAAATTGTCTCTCCCTTTTTTATAGTCATTTCTAAGCTCTTAAAGCATTTTGTTTTTAATGCAGTCCAAGTTGGATGAATTTACCTTTTCTTCACCAGCAGCAAGGTTCACAATGGTGTGTTTCAGTGGGAGTGCATGCAGTAGGGGAACATTTGGCAAATTAAAGTGAATTGTGATAGCAAAATTAGGAAAACCCCACACCATTATTAAAAAAAAAAAAAAAAAACACTTAAATTCTGAGACCCGTTCTTGCAGCAGATTTTTTTTATGCAGATATATAACAGTTACTAATTTTATGGTGGCTTGCCATAAAATACAAGTTGAGTTCTGTAAGTAAGCAAGTTCTCTCTAGAGAGTTCTTCCATTTAAGTAGAATAGCAATCTTAGGCTTAAGTCACTAGTCACTGTAATTGTTGGAGAGACTGTTCACAAAGAAAAGACATAGGTTTTTTTGCATATTTGAACAGATTAGAACAACATCAGAAAGAAATGGCAGTATTTCTGGGCTTACCTTGCGTGTCCATTGCTATCTGTAGCTCTTCACACCAGATCTCAAAGAGTTACAGTGTCATCATCCTTTTATATCTGTATAGTTTGTATATGAAAAAAAGAGAGAGAAAATATGGCGTCTGGGCAGGCATTTTGTTTCCAGATATTTCATTTCAGTTCTGTTTGATCACGATAAAAAATAATCATGTAAAAGTTGTCTTTTATGTCCTTCACAATCTTCCACTTGCTGCCTGCAACTGAGGCCAAATCAGCCCTCAAGTTTATCCTTTTGAACTGACTTGCTACTTCACTGTTTCAGTCCATGTTGCTTCAGAGCTGTCTCAGAGTGTTTCTTCCAGGGTGGCAGTGCTTCCCAAGGCACAGTGTCACAGGGAGCATTGCTTGAGGCTATACAACAGTGAGGGAAACTGAAAAAGGCAAAACAACTTTCCCTCCAAATCATAATTAGCAAGTTGGAATTTTCACCTTATTCATATTGGCATATTTCTACATGTGTATTTTTACAAATACTATTGCAAAGAGTTATTTCTTGCTTTTAGATTCTTTGGTGAAAGATGCTATAGATATGCAGAATATTTGCATAAGCTTTATTTATTTCCTTCTATTGCTATGTAAAGTCGAGATCAAAACAACATCAGCAAGGGAGTTACACATGCACATAACATGAATGATGTAAATAGTTGGCTATCAAATATCAAAGAGTGCTTATATGCCTAATATATGGTGTACATAGATCTGATCTGTGACGGAAATTGTAAGTGCTATTGCCTTCAGATCTGTGAAGGGATTTCTAGGTGCTATTGCCTTCATGCACAGGTCTGCAAAGTGTTACTGATATATGGTTTGATCTTTCACAAAACGGTATAAATTATAGAATGGCCTGGGTTGAAAAGGACCACAGTGACCATCTGGTTTCAACCCCCTGCTATGCGCAGTGTTACCAACCACCAGACCAGGCTGCCCAGAGCCACATCCAGCCTGGCCTTGAATGCCTCCAGGGATGGGGCATCCACAACCTCCTTGTGCAACCTGTTCCAGTACATCACCACCCTCTGGGTGAAAAACTTCCTCCTAATATCTAACCTAAACCTCCCCTGTTTCAGCTTAAGACCATTCCCCCTTGTCCTATCACTATCCACCCTTGTAAACAGGGTGATTGGTATAATGAGCTGCAAGTTTTAGTTGATGAGGTAAACGTGGTTCATGATTTTTAGATAGTTAATCGTTGAAGCATTTGTAGAGAATATGACAGTTATGAATGTAAAGAAAATGTGGTTTCTGCACACAGTGGAGTATTTCCATACTTGCACTTAGTTGTATTTTATTGTTGAAAAGCGTATTTTGGTTTTAATCTGCTGTATTATGTGTGTTTTCTGTCACACTTTTGGCATTGTTTTATATGATTCTGGAAGATACATTTCTTCTAAAGCCTATGCATATTTGATGCACAGAGAAAGCATAAAACACGTTCAGAGCAAGTGCTAGAGGAAAAAAAATGAAAGAGATTTAATTTGATGTTAGACACTTTTAAAGATTCAGCCTAAGATATTATATTATATTTCCAGTGGTGTGTTTATCCCTTCTCTACTGAATAATACTTTAGGCTATTTCTTTGGGATGTGGAAAGTTAATTCAAGAGCTAAGTTCATGTACATTGTGTATGCAAAGCAAAAAAATTTAAACAAAAGAGAACTACTCTGTAGTATCTCATCCAGTAACTCGCAGGGGTGAGAGTCCCTGACTGCAATAGTTTTTGTGAAATTCAAAATGATTAAAGGACTTGAAGAAAGTCTTCTACTGCCTTCAGGAGTGCAGTGGCAAGTAGCTGATGAGGTGGAAGCCTCATGTAATTTTTTATTAGAAATTATTCTCTCTAGTCTTAAACACTTGGCTCCTGGATGATCTTCATGGCTTCTAGGTGCTTTGATCAGATGCTAAGTAATGCCGTGGTTAGGTAGGCTGAAATTCTCAGCTTCAGCATCACCACTGTACTTGGGCTAACTTATAGAAATTGTGTACTGGGGCATCAGACCACCTGAGTGCAATGTATGGTGACCCTAATAAGGGTGAAGATGTGGAAGTTGAGGGACAGAAAATCCAGAGACTGTTTTCCACTGTCATTGCGTCTTAATAGCTGCCACTAGTCGTTTTAAAAAAAAAATAAAATTAAAAAAGTAGTTTAATTTGTTCTTTTTCAACAGGCTTCCAATCATGGCAGAGTTCAAGATATTCAAGGCCAGGTTGTATGGGGCCCTGGGGAACCTGGGCAGCCTTATCTTCTGCCTGATTCTGTGATTTCCAGTGGGGGAAAAAAAAATCACAGCTTTTGCATTTTAAAAATAGTCAGACCTCTGTTCTTCATCCCAGTTTAATGGCCATAGGGAATCTAGAAGAGCTTTCTTCAACCCATCCCAAAAATAAATGAATAAATAAGAAAGTAAATAAATAAAATAATAATCTAACAGGCAGCAGATGTTTGAACTTGTTTCAGCTGCAATTAAAACAGTCTTTGTGCTACAGAATCTGTTTTAAAACTTTGCATAGTCCCACCATTTCTGAGTCTGCTCATGCATTAGGGCTGGACGTGCACTTCCTCTTCTTCTTAGGCCCCCTTCCTGAACTCTCCTCTGTTTTATATAAAAGAACTTCAGTGAATGTGCCTGGTTAGTTCTTCTTTGCTTCACCAAAGCATCAGATTCTACCAGCTGGTCTTTGCTTTTATTATGTTTGGGTTTTTTTGTTTTGCAATTTCCCTGCTAAGTAACTTCTCAGCAAGTCTACCAAAACAAATCAAATGTGAAAGTTCTGCATCAAGTCAGAGCAGTAATTCCTCTGAGTAGTCAGAAATAATGTATTATTGTCACACTATTATAACTATGAGCTGTTTTGAACTATATTTGCACCAGCACAGTTGCTTTTTGATACAGAACTATTTTCAATCTTTTTTTGGAATGCCTGTATGTGTTAGTTTTTAATTTTGATTACTATAAACAAAGCAGGGGACAAGAAATTGACAAAGTGTTCAACAAGACATTTTAGATGACTTGTTATTAATTTACTATTAAGTAGAAGGTAATTGCTCAGTAAGGTATATTGTCTTTAAGATTTGCTAAATTTTATTATTTTTATAGAAAATTCTGAGTTAGGCCTCCTTTCCAGGGATCTATTTTTTTTTAATTTTCTTTTATGTTCATGGAGTACCATATTCCACAAACAGCCGTAGTAGATGGTCCTGATTTTCATTTATATTAAGAGGTCGTCTGTGTTTCTTTTTTATTGTGTAGAGGCATTCGGAAGGCCTGAATTCCAGCTATGTGGTGTAACATTACTTCATTCACTATAATATGTTGTCAAACCAAAGTGAAGGAACTAAAAACACACCCTCCAAAGTGGAATTACAATCCAATGTTTGTAGATACTTTTGTCAGCAATTAGTAGAGACTAATTTTTTTCATGGCATCTATCTTGACCATTATTACAAAATAAAAGCATTTACTTGTCATAGAAGTACTGAGGAGGGTGGTTGTTTGTGTATTAACTCAGTGGTAGGCAATATCACATTTTTCTAGTGTGCCAGTCCGCGTATCTCATATGACAAGTGAACTGAAAGTCCGGATGTCTTTCAGAAAGATGGAGGGCCTGGCTTTTTATTGTGGGGGAAACACTCAGGTAAAATTAACAAATCCAGTGATAGAATGTCTGTTAAACTCATAAATCTCTAGAGAAAATTCAGTTTTAGCCTGAAGCTATGTTTATATGTATGTCAACAAAATTAGAATCAAAGCCCCTTGCCTGACCTAAGGGGTTGGAAATGCATCATGAGAATAGGACACTTTCCAACACCAGGGATTCCTTACAGTTTTCCAGTGAATATTACCTCCAGGTTAATATTGTAGCAACGAGTCCCACAGTGGAATGTTGCACTGTCCTTTCTTGATAAGTGCTACATTTCTAGAGGAAGGATATAAGAGTTTAAGTTAGGAGGACTACAGTAATTTACTGGCAGAAATCTGTTAGGTGTTTTGAATGGTGTGTTATATCAAATGTCTGCTTTATTTCCAAACAATTGACTGAACTCAAATGCGTGTTTTTGATTCCAAGGTTGTTGGAAATGAGACATTCATTACTGTTGCTAAAAGTGAATAAATAAACTTCTCAATGGGCTTTTCTAGTCTGAACTTCAAACGCCGAACCATTCTGACCTCCACGATTGATAATGCCTTAATGACACCTGTTATCTACCACTGCCTCTTTTCAATGTGCTTCTGAGTGCTACCATGTTAGCAAAACGGTCAACATCAGCCAAGTTTATATCTAGTGATATCTGCAGAAAATTGATTTCTATTCATTATAAAACAGTTTGCCCCTTAGCTAGGGACGATTTTCATCGAATGGAAAGTAAAGAAATAATGACGCAGGCTAATAGACTATTTCTGATGTATGCACTTTTAGTTTTCTGAAGCAAGTATGAGAATTTATAAAACTACTTGGTTCTTTGTAAGATGTTTAAATACTCATTTTTTAAAAATCAGTATCTTTTCTCCAATGTTGAATTGGAGAAAATCCGCATTTTGTGGAAGTAGAAATTGTCTTCCTTTGTTTTGGTACCGATTGTCCATCTACCAAGAAGGATATCACAAATGTTTGTTTCCTTGTTGAAGATGAGACGGTAAGAAGAATGAGTTTAATCTACACTGCAGGATAAAATTACATTCACTGTTAAGAAATTCTTCCTTAAGAATTCTGTAGATTTAGTGCTCTGCTCGTAAGCTGGAATGTTATCGAGAAAGTCAACTTCTGTATATTCTCATTGCAATAAATCTGGACTGTTTAATGGTCTAATCTGTGCAAATGCTACCTTCCAGATCTGCCTCAACAATGTACGTTTTCAAAACATTTGCATGCTTACTACGTCTATATGACTTAATATTTTAGTTGAAAACTAAGAAAAATCTAGCATGTCCTTCCTTTTTAACTCTGAAACAAAAATAAGCAGGTATATCATATGCTTCATTATTTCAATTTAAACAGTACTGTTTTTCTCATTGAAGCTTTGGCAAGGTTCTCCACTGTAGACATAATACCAATGGTCTAAGTACTACTGACAACATTACATGTTGGAGGAGCTCAATGGAGAAGGAACTAGTTGGAAATTCTTATATAATGCCTTTTTTCTGGACCCTTGATGGGCCCACATGAATTCACATGTAACAGGATGAAATACAAGGCAGATTGTGTAGGAAATGAGTGACAAGGTGTCACCTCTTTCTGACTCTGCTTTCCTGTTCATCTCCTATGCAAAAGGCCAAAGTGCTGCCCAAAGAAATAGCCTAGCTACCTCAGGTGGCACTTCGAAGTTAAATCACTACAAATGCATAAGGCTTCTGCTGGATTCCCTACACAGAATTCTCAAGGAAAATCATCAAATTTTGTACATAAAGGGACTCAGTAAGCCAAGCAGTAGCAATGGTTTTCAAACAGTTTCTGTTGACACAATGAAGGAGGATCTCAGCTGAGAACTTCATAATGAGTCTTTTGAAATTAAAGTGCGAGGTAGAATGAGAAAACAAAGAGGGGGTTAAAGAGAGCTTGTGTGACACCTTATTAGGTAAGATTTCTGCATTACACTGTTCTTGTCTTATCTTTGGATGCAAATAGGCTGTAAAAGTTAATAATTTATGAATCCTACCATCCCTTGGTGAAATCTTACCTATATTATCTCAATATAGTTTGAAAGATAAGGACGTGATTCGTGGACTTTGAGCTGAGAGGTGAATTGGTTCGATTTCCAAATATGTCCTATAGTAATGTGTAGATAATGCTGAAGACTGCATTGGCTGTATTGGAAAGGTGAAGCGGACTGTTATTTTTGCCATTTGTTTTTGAATTGATCATCATCTTTATTAAAAGAAAAACAGTGATGTTTTACTAGCTTGTAAAACTTCCCAAATACACACTTCTCTTGCGATATACAACTTGACAATTGGTTGATATGAACCTGGCGTGGACTGTTAATGAGCACCATCTGTTAATCCGTCATATAAGATTTTTACATCTCAAAAGAATCTGCAGAAATATTATTTATGTTAAATCTCGTGGGTAGATAATTTGGACCAAATAATGATTGTTCTCCCACTTCTTAAGATTAAGGCATTGTGACTGATTAAAACGTGTATATTTTTGTACATAGAGACAGACAATACAGTTTCTTAGCAGTGTTTATTTTTTGTACAAAAAAAAAAAAAAGAAACCGATGAATTTGAAAGGAAGTCGTATCTGTCTTTTGATTGCACACTTTTAAACAAAAATAATACGAAGTGGAGAATGAAAAAACAAATTTTTATATTGGTAGTTCAAAATAACACCTAAATCTATCAATGTTCAAAATGAAAATATATATACCAAGAATGCTAGAACATCTATTTTACATTATCTACAAAATGTATGTTCTAATCCAGCCACAAATCATAGCAGAATACTTTGATACATGAGAAAAGCTATAAACACAAGAACATTTTGGAGGGAAATAACACATACAAAAGCTCATTAAATAATTACAACAACAAATAAATAGTTTGTTCAGCTTTACTTTTTGATTGCTGCCATGCATATTTTCATTTTTGGTATACTGAGACAAGAGAAAGATCAGCATGCAAGGCATTCTTTTTTTAGAATGAATCTGAAAGCAGATACTTGGTGTAGCATTCGTAAGCTGTTGTCAGAAGTTCCTAAAACATGATAGAGAAGGCAGTAGGCGTGATAATAAACTGTTGTTGTGAAGACATACAACAAAGCATCATTTTACAAAACAGACTTCCGTGAATATTCATGGCAACTTTTCTTTGCCTCCATGACTGGAGGGAATGTAAAGCTTTGAAGTGAGGGTTTGGATGGCTTGTGTTACTGCCCATCTTGAGCTTTTGGAAAATCACCCGAAATGGTCCTTATGCTGAGAATGCCCCTTTTGATTTTGGTCAAAACAGTAAGCGTGCAGTATCATCTGAGAACAAAGCAATGGCAGACTTGTCTTTAAGCAGTCAGAACTGTAAAGCAAATGGTTACAGGTGAGTTCAGTTTTGGCAGGAGGAGCAGGAGAGGAGAGAACCTCTGACCTCTAACTTGTACTGTGTTTGCTGGATTTACTGGCTCTTTTTCTCTCTTTGTGATGCTGGACAGGCTTTGCTTGAGAGGTTCCCTCAAAGTTGTGGCTGGATTCATTGTGCTGCCTGGTGTATCGCTTGCACTTGCAGGCTGTGACCACAGTTATTTTGTAGGTTCTTATACTTCCATCCTGGCACTGCAGCTGGATCCTCTGGGTGCGAGTTTTGTCATTGACACATCTCCACTCTTGCGAGCTTCGTCTGCTCCAGTACTTGGTTCCATAACCTCCTCCAATCCAGTTGGGCAGAAGAGGCAAAGGGAGACATTCACCAGCACACACCAGCTCCTTCAGGGGATTGATGCTGGTGCACTGGCCGTCTGAAATGTACTTGGTGGATCGCAGTTCCCGGCAGCCAACTTGAACGCGATCTGCAGAATGCACAAATAATAAATAATGAGATTCAGAACACAAAGATTTCCTTAACCGGTCATTTTCCCCCTAGTTAAAGTAAGCTAGGATATCTTTTTAGTGTTGTGACCCCCAACACAAGGGCCTTGAGCACTGATGATATCTCTAGGTATTACCACAGTATAAAGAAATGGTAATTATATGCACTTCAGCAGTTGTGGTAGAAGAGGCAATTTTATTCTCTGTTCTTCTTCTCAGGGACATACCTTTTGGAAGAGAAAAAATGCCCCAAGGGAAGAAATGTTTCCTCCTTGTTCTCAGTCTAGGGAACTTGCTCTGTGATGTTTACAATAATAATGTTGTATCATTAGCAAGTGGGAAACGGTGCTTTGGAAACTGTTTATATGCTTTTAAATTAATTTTAAATAGGGCTTCTTCTCATTCCACAGTTTCAGCAGACTGAGTCTCCCATGAGCTCTACTGCTCTGAGCACAGGTTCTGTAAAAGTGACAACAGCTGAAGTTCCCGGGGAATGGTGTTTTGCATACAGTTTGAATGGTTAGCAGCAGTGATTTCAGTGTGACCAACTTGCCCACAGGGAAACACCATCTTTCTATTTGTAGTAGTCTTTTTATTATAGGTAACATAGAGGATCCTGCAAATTCTCTCAGGCAATCAACCGAGAAGCAAAACACAGAGCTTCTAATACAGGCAAGTTTGTACCCGTCTGTATGTGCAGCTCTGCACCCTGCAATAAACACAACTGTTTATTTCAGTAATTACACTTTGAAATAAACGCCCACAGCGCACTTAATTGTAATAAGCAATTTTTACTGGCTATGCTCTCCCTCTTTCTGAAGGACAATTATGGCACAGATTCTACACACAATGCAATTAACTAACGCCTTTAAAATAGGAGTAATTACTAGAAACATTTCAGAGTGAATCATAAAACGCTTTGAAGGTACATCTACATATCACTGCTACAGGCTGCTTCTGTTTCTACTTGGATTTTTGTAAGCAGGTTCTGAACTGGGGCACAGAGCTGAGGTTATGAGTTTACTTCACCCTGGCCTGTGTCTCAGGATGGGCAGACAGTGGGGACTGCAGACTGCGGGCTGAGCTGAGGGGCCATTTGCAGCAGTGGCCTCTTATCTGACTCACAGAAGAAATTCACGCTTGCCTTCCTGCAGCTGCACTCAGGAATGTACCTGGAAGCAGCCAGTAAGAGATTTGAGTTTGTCTCTCCTGTTTTTATGTCTTTGCTGGCTCAGCTTTTCTCTAGTGACAGCTCATTGACAGTGAATGCCTACTGGGCTGCACCAGTAATCTCGTAATGATGAGATGTTTCCTGTGCACTTAAACCCTTAGCATTCATAGAAGCTGACACACCTGGCTTAGCTGAAAGGTATCCGTGTCACTTTTTACCTTCACTTTCCAGGGATGACGCTATTTTTAATCAAATCGTGGTGGGTGGGTGGGTGGGTGGGTGGGTGGGTGTGTCTGCTTGGATTTCTTTCATTTTAAGGAGGCGGGCAGAGAAGGGAACAGAAAGCAGAATGTTTTCAGATCCCCATGTACCTAACACACAGACCTAAAACTCACGGGAAAGGACCAGAAACAAAAAGGCAAGTTAAAGCAGAGCACATAGGTAAATGATGAGCTGATTTGTTTACTTTTGCTGGAGGTGTTAAGCAGTGAGTGCTACAGCAGGAAGTAAAACTAAACGGCGGGAACAAAATTTAGAGTTTTTTATTGCATTTGAGAAGTAGCCCAGACACCTCCCCTGCCCGCAGCGGGAAGGCGAGTTAGGAAAGCGAGCGCTTTGGAAGTGCCTCCTGCTCCTTTCCCTTTATCTTTCTTCCCTGCCGGATAACCCACCAAATCTGGCTGAACTTCCCTCAGGACGAAACCTGCCCGAGAGAGCCGGTCCTGCAGGACTTGCAGGGGCCGGCGTGCTCGGGGGCGAGACGGAGCAGAGCCACCGGCAGCAGCATCTTCCCTCTGCCCGCTCCCCGGGGCGCTCTACTCGGAGGGCTCCGGGGCCGGGGACCAAAGGCCGCGGTGGAGGGGCGGCCGGTGGGATACTCACTGTGACGGTCGGAGCCCGTGCCGGCGTAGTGCCTTCCTCCGTTTCTGGCTTGATTCAACGTGCTGTTGCTGCTGGGGCTCGCCGGAGCAGGTTTAACGACGTGGGAATAAAGTATCTCCGTGGCATCGTTCTTGAAAGCCGAGTAGCTTCTAGTGAAGGTGCAAGCTAGGAGTAAGCCGTAGAAGTGAATGGCGGGGAGAAGCATGGTTGGTTCAGTCTCTGTCTGACGGAGCCAGATGAAATGTTTTTCTTCTGCTTGTTCTCGGTAACTCTGAAATTGCTCTTCAAGGTTTCCTTTATATATTCAGAAAGGCTTGGCATTCATTCAGGTGTAAAGTTGTGGATAGCTTCAGAATGAAAACCCACAAAAGGGGTGGGATCCCCACATGAGCCTGGAAGACCTTTTACCAATGGGAGAGAAGCTTGCAGTAAAGGAGGAGTTAGATGCGCTAATTGCACGATTCCTGCCTGGGGCTTTTGAGGGTATCGGGAAGCTGTCGCGAACCGCACGGCAACGTTGGGTCTGGGACCGAGAGGCTCTGCCCCGCTGTCCCGTGTCGCCCTGCATGCGCAGCATCGCCGTGCGATGTGACTAACACGAAGTGGCAGAATGGGTCCCTTCGGCTACTGTTGTGCAAAGTGACTTCCCTTCTTTTCGAATGTGCCTTTCAGAAAACTCTGCGGTTCCATAAGGATGCCAAAGTTTACAGAAGTTACAGGAAACTGCTGGTAACCCAAAAGCTGTCTGCTATATACCAAGATCACTCACAAAAAATGTATTGTGAATAATTTAAAGTTGCCTCTAGCTGCTTTAAATTATGCAGCTTTGATCAACAAGGAGCACTGCTAGAGAAACTCCTTGTTTTAGGGGAATATTCTTTCCCTGGTGTGCACAGTTACAAGTATGTAGTTCTGTATCACCACGCATAAAAAGCATCTCCTCTAGGCTCTAGTGCAAACATATCCATATTCATAGCCTCACGCTATGCTCATTCACCAAACTCATCTTTTTTTCGTTTTGTACATTGCCTAGAGCATTGTTGTGTTTTAAATTTATTGTTTCATGTAAAAAGGAAAACAAAGAGGAAAGAATAGTCCTTATTTTGACATATGATTTTACTATGTCACACACTTATTTGATTTTCCATGAAATTCATGGCCCAAATCCAAACACTGGTGTAAGCTGAGATGCTGTCAGTAGGCCAGCGCTTGTTTGCTTGTTTGCATCAGTGTTGAATGCTCTATAGATTTTCATTATAAATAAAACAACTGTGATCAACACTGAAAGCTGTAGTGTTCTAAATAAATGGAAAATTTTTTCTCTGCAAAAAGCACAACTGTTCAAGAGTCAACATCATGTAAAGATTAGCATCTAATCTCACTGCTATCTACAGAGTCATCCTGTATTTTATTAGCTGTAATGAAAGCAGAACTGGAACACAGATCAGTCACCTCTACAGGGTCAAAACCCTAGAAATTCAAAGACAAGTTTGTTTCCCCCTAGTCACAATTCATCTTCATCGGCACCACGTTCCTCTTGCATCACTACAGAAGTTACCATGGCTTTAATCAGAAGTAAGGACAGATCTAGTCAGTACCAAATTAATAGCTTTTGCTTAGAAGACACGAGAAAAACAGGAGTGTTGCACAGTGAAGTGAGTTTGACTGGTGGAGCTGTGTGTGGGGAAGTGAGTTGATTGCCTGCATCTATTATGACTAGCCCAACCCAGTTCTGGAATAACAAGAATGTTGCAAGGCAGACATCCTTCAGCAGGGCAGTGTGTGGAGGAGTGGGATCAATGCTAACCCCCTGATCTTGTGGAACATCTTATTTAGCCACCAAAGTGAAGGTATGAATGTTACCTTCCCTCTAAATTAAGTAGAAAATGAAAGATTCCTTAAACAAATTGTCAAAGAATTACATTACAGAACATTAATATCTGATGTTATTTATCTTCAGCAGCAGCTAACCAAAGATCTGCTGTGTGTATGTTCACATTCTACTTCATTTTTTCTCACGTTCACAGAGCTTCACATATCTCACCTGCTCTGTAGGATAGTCTCTGTGCTGAACTGACACAATATAACTAAAAACATGGGACTCATTTTCCAGTTTTTGCAGTACCTGTGGATACCAGCCAGGGAACCTCTTCCTAGTTAGAAAGCTTTTCCCACGTTACACAGGACTTGGGAAAGTCAGAAGTTTCCTTGATAGTTGTGTTCTTTGAAATAAGGCATATAATCTTCTTCCAGGAAAAAAGTATGGGAACTTGGATTGCTCGCAGGACTGCGTCTGCAAGGACTGCATCTTGCTACAGCTTAACATTTTCAGCTTTCTCTGAAAGCTAATTTATCCTTTCAGATTCGGGTTATATACAAGCATAAAGTTTGTCACATGCTTCTCTTGCTCTTATTACTTAGAGAAGGAAGATCTCAAGACAGCCTTTGTAGAAAGCATTTTTCTGTGCACAAGTTGGCTGCAGATATTATTTTAATTTCTTCTGTATTTTCCACTTAGTACAAATGCTGTACAAAATCTCATGATTTCACTGCCCACGTCAGTACTGTTAGCCTGCCTCTTTGAGACGTGAGCAGGCTGCTGAGGAGTTTGTCATTTCACTGACTTTATATGTTGCGTTGTCAAACCTTGAGTTTGAAGTCCTTCATTTTGTTTGCTTTCCTGAAAGAGATCAGAAGTCGCATGACGGGAAGAAATGCTGGACTGTCAAATTGTAATGCTCTTCGTTAGCGAAACCCATGATCAAAAGGTATTTCTTAATGCTCAGCTGACGAACATTTCCTAGACTTACAGCAATTTTTTCTCTTTATTTAGACAACTGTGATAAGGTGAAGGCTCTAAGTTACCTATGCGTTTGTAGCTTCCAAAAAAAAAAAAAAAAAGGACTAATACAATGCATAGTCTGTCCTTATTCCAGTCAGATTCATGTAGAACATTGCTGTGTGCTTAATCTGTAATATTGGCCATGAGGAATATATTACACAAGGTCTTTGAAGTCTGTACTGGCTTCCTTTTTGCCTCTGGGCATAACTCAGGATGTTCTTATTGATCTATAAAACCTATATGCTTTGAGTCCTAGGCAATAAATTCTCTCTTCTTTATCTGTCATTATGACACTTAAGATCAGCCAGGGCACAGTGGCTGTATCTGCATCGGGAGGGGTGAATGCTCAGGGTGAAGGGCACAGAAGGCTGGATTTCACAGCTCTTAAAGATCCATGAGAGCTCCCTTCTGTTGCTTGGCGTGGCGTAAAGCCCAGTGTTTACTCAGATCCTGGAAAGGTGGCTGTGGGAAGACTTCCCACCTGCTAACTGGATTAATGTAAATGTTTGTACATGTACCAGGGATAAAGAGGTACATCTTAACTATGTGGGTTTGGTTTTTTTTTCTACTTAACTGCTTCTTGTATCTTAACAGCCTTGCTTCTCATGGATCTGAATATAGCGGTAAAATAATTCGTCACTCTTACAGAGAATGATATCCAGAGTTATTCACCCCTTCAATCTTGTGTTTGTCATTTTCTGTGATGGAAAAACACATACTTCTTTCTACTTGTGTAGAATACATGACACGCAATACATGTTCTGCTAAGGTACCCATGGAGAATTCCCTTCTGCACAGATGACTCCATGGTCATTTGTAAGGCTGACAGGGTGCTATCCTACACGTCTCTTAGGCACTGTAACAATGTCCAAAGGGCAAAGTTTTGTGCAGAGCACACACACCTGTCTGGTAGCGTAGAAGAGCCACAGGGAATAGCAGGGAATGCACTGACATGACAAACGACTACCAGAGAGCCTTGTCACTGCAACCCGTGCAATCACTGAACATGCACAAAAGAAGAAGGAATTCACAATTTTTCAGTAATTTGGACCTGCCTTATGCTAACAATGGCATGGAGTGGCAAGGATTAGAAAGAAGGCTGCATGGGAAAAAAGGAATAAAATTCATTTTTGCATTTTTATCATTAAACCCACAGAGAAGACAATTAGAGCATTGCAATTCTGACTTGTTTCCAAAATATAAGCTCAAAAAACAGACTGACATTTATTATTTTGCACCTTAAAACAGAGATGACTGTCAGGCTATTTTCTGTTAAGCAATAACCATATTAGTAACAGACTTCAAAGCAGTGTAAAATGTGATTTGGAGCATGATAAGAGAGTCTGTCTGAAAGTGAGGTAAAATTGTAATAAATGTAACTGTTGAGAACTTGTAAGCTGTTGTGAAACAAGTTAGCATACTTTTAAAGCTCACGCAGAAAACATGTTAGAGGAGGAGGAGAACCCCCGCAAATTCCCAAACCAAAGATTTTTTGAATACTGACTTTTTTTCAGAATTAAATGTCTCTTTTTCATTTTCTCAGTAAATTACATTTGAGAGATTCAACAGAAAGCACAACGTATATTTTCATTAATGAGAGTGGTTAATTAGTTCTGATTTATGTCTTTTTCCGCTCCCTAAGATTTTGCATTTCAGTTTTATTTATTTCCACTTTCTCTTATACGTAATGTAGACAGAATAATTTAGGTCAGGCTTTGGCTTCAAAGGAAGCAATTCATCACTTCCATCAAAAAACAATGTTAAATATAGACTGAAAAGGGAAATATTTGAGTTTATTTGGAAATTATCAGAAAATGTAAAGTAGATTTTTATACCAGACTGAAGACAGTGTGGCTTACTGTTCCCCAAAGCATGTTTTGTGATTTTCTGCCTACACTGAGGAGGAAATAAAAACAAAAGAGGGTTTTACAAGTTATAAAGCAATGAGAGCAACAACTTGTTTATTTGGAGTAACACTGGGGTAACTCAGATGGCATTGAAATGTCGTGTGGTTTTTTTTTAAGATATTTGAGGCAGTAAGGCGGCATTTTTTTATATACATAGACCTTGAAGTAAACTGGACTTTGGTGTCTACATACTTTCTAAAATGTTGCCCTAAGGAGTAAAAGTCCTATAGATTTTCACTGAACCAGTCACTTAAATGCTTTTGAAAATTTTACCCTCAGGTTAAAATTCTAAACTCCTACTCAGTGTTAAGCAGGCAAAGTCCCATCAACATGCTCCAGTTGCAAATAAAATAGCAACTGCGTAAAGGTTTTGAAGTTTATCCTGTTTCTTTACATGTAATTAACTGAACTCTTAATATATCACTATGTTTCAGTAAACTGCTTTGTGTTTCTAATTACGTGGTCTGAAATGATTACAGCGTATTTTAAAAATGCACACTCTACAACAAACCAGCAAAGAAAACCTGGCATAGTTTCAGCATTTGCTAAGCAAACACTTGCCAAACCTGTTGTTAGATCCGAAGCTGTAATTTAAAAACAAGCCTACAAGGGATCTGGAAGAAGATCCCTCTTTCCTTCCTTCTGCTCCATCTCCCACTCCCTTACAAGGAAATCACTTTACCTTATCAAAACAGAGCAGTTACTGACATTTGTCTCCTGGTTGGAACCCTATCCCCGCTGTATTCAGATTTTAGGTTTGGCTAGTGCATATTCTTGTGAAAGAATAAAAGAATGTTAATGTCCAAA